TGCCACGCTTATGAAAATTCGAAAAAGTCTTCTTAACTCTGTTCAGCTTGCCCACAGTGGCTCCATTGGTGCCCGGAATGGACTCATCGAGCCGTAAATCGGTATTGGGTCCGAATCCGAATCTCGACTTGAAATTAATCTCCAAGATCTTTTCCATCATGGATGCCAACCACAGAATAGCGTGAACACAGCATGCTGCACTCAAGAGTGTTGCAGCGCCAAATGTAAGCTTGTCCGGGGCTGGGTTCACTTATTTGTTGTTTGCCACACCACCCCGCATTGGCGATTGCGGTCCAGTTGTGTCGGTACAATTCATTCCATACTGAGGCTGTTCTTCATAGGAAAAGTCTTCGGCACTTCCTAGGATTGGAATTCCATTTTATACCCCAGAGCAGATAATAAATCTAGCTCTGTAAAACTCGACGGTTAAGCTTAGAAATCCTGGATTAGAGGAGATCTCATTAGCTCACACGATAAATTCTCCCAGCATGTAGATTAGGCGCTGAAGTCGACAAAACTTGCCTGATAGAATGAGTGCCGCCCATAAAAGAGATGATATTTCGGCGCGGGTCATAGAAATACGTTCTTGACAACCTGACGCTGACGGGGGCTGCCCAGATGCCAATGGCACAAAGTTGGAAAGCAACAGGTTACAGCACCTTGCACACACTTGACCGTCAGTTATACGTGTTTTCCATCAAGACGGCCGGTAGAGGCCATTTGGGAACAGAGCAGCAGCATCGAAGAAATTTGTAAGAGGGGCTCAGTCGGTCCCTGCAGCCAGCAGTGACGGTCCCATGTCCTGTCCAACACTGTCAGTGATCAAAATATTCAAATGTTCACAGTTGAAACAGACATGCAAACCAGACTTGACTTAACGCTGCCCAGTTCCTCAATGTGCAGAGGGGTGGCTCCTTGGCCATTGCAATTTGCAAGGGAGGAAAGCCATTCGCCCGTGCCTTCCTTCTACCAACCACGTCACGAGTCTGCTCTGCATTTTCGGGCCTACCAACCTCCATCTCGACCCTTGGAAATATTGAATTCAAAACGCACAACTGCCATTCTGTGTCTTACCTGTTTGAAGGGGTTGCCAGCGACCCAGGGACAGGAAAGCAACAGCGGCAATGTTAGCCGGTTTGTCTTGCTGTTTAGCTGTCTACTTTCTATGCATCCTGTGGCTGACCCCAGCCTGTGTTCGGTTTAAATACATTCGATTCTCTTGGCGCTTCGGCTAGGCCTCAGGAACAGCCAGCTATCGGAGAATGCATCTTCCTCCAATGACTGACCACAGATTTGTGCTTGTTTGCAGCTAGTTTACACTCTTATCGGTCAGCACTTCGACCCCCCAAGTTTGTGAGTCTCCCAAACTGCAGCGTCCTGGGTCATGACGGCTTCTATTCTGCCCCCCCCCTCAATCTGCTTGCAACACATACCTAGGCAGGTATGCAGAGGATGTTGCCCAGTCGCGAAAACGCAAATGATGCCATAATAGCTTGCTACGACAAGGGACTACGACTAACTGAATTGCCTCAAAAAGGAGCTACTTGCGCTTTTTCTTCTTCTTCATTTCGTCGTACTGTTCAGCTTTGCAACGGCAGCGCTGATGTCCCAGATTTCGCGGGTAGACGGGAATCGAGCGTGTGAAGTGAGAAGCCACTACTCTGGTGGATTCATATAGGACAGCTTCCACCTCGCGAGGACTTGATTAATTTCGGCTTTACTCATTTTTTCTATTCCGCAAGGCATGGAAGGCATGGACGACGACGTCTCACTAAACACGGACCAGATCCGCGACTGGCGATCCGTCATGACACTAATCGTCTTTATTCTCACCAGTATGTAAAATGTCATGATACCAAATGCGTGACGCACGAGATCTCGCCTTATCTAGACCTGACTCAACTACTTCTAGATATCAATGTGTTGTTTCCATTTCACATACCAATTTTTGTGCCAAGAATGGCCTGGAATGCGCTGGTAGATGCTTTGAGCTATGCCAGGATCATATCACCGAGGAACAATACTTTTCCATACGAGGCAGACGACGACAATGACAATGGCAAGATCAAGCCTTATGTGCGGCTCAATTTTCCCATGAATTTTGTCACCGCGCCCTTGATAGCAGACCTTTTCCTGCTCGCTATCCTTGCCATTGGGCGCAAAGAAGTGCATGACGGGATCCTGGGAGCCGATAATATCTCGCCCATCGATATTATGGCCTTCTTTATCACCTTGGCGTATATCGCTATTTCCATAGACGCGTCGGGCTTAATTCGTTATCTTGCTTTTAAAGTCTTGCAATGGGGAGGCAAAGTTGGGCACCGACTCTTCTTTTTCCTCTACTTCTTCTTCTTTCTTCTCGGCAGCTTCGTCGGCAATGACCCGATTATTCTCTCTGGCACGACCTTCCTCGCCTACATGACAAGGGTCTCTCGCAACATTGCCCTCCCTCGGGCTTGGATTCACACCCAGTTTGCGGTTGCAAATATTGCTTCAGCAATTCTCGTCTCCTCCAACCCCACAAACCTGGTCCTTGCCGGAGCCTTTGAAATCAGGTTTATCAACTACACAGCGAATATGATTGTTCCAGTTGTAGTGACTGCTGTTGTACTCTTCCCCTTCCTCCTGTACATTGTCTTCGCAAACAAAGCTCTGATCCCATATTGCATCGAAATGCACGAACTGCCGCCAGAGGCTAGAGCCAAGAAACCCATCAACCCCAACATTCCGCACGCACGTGGACCAATGGAAGAGGGTGAGAACAGTACGTCCAATGACGAACAGACCAAAGTCTTGTCACTGGAGGAAATTATGAATCCATTCTTGGACAAGGGCGGAGCGGCCTTCGGCGCTGTTATTATGGCCACAACACTAATCACTGTTCTGGTCGTCAATGCTGTTCGCACCGGCACCGAAGCCCATCCTGTTTTCTGGGTAACACTACCAGCAGCCTTCGTAATGTTTTGCTGGGACATTGGTTTTGGTTGGTTTCATCGTGCCGAAACTAGACAAATCGCACGCAGGGGCCGGCTGGAACGTGAGGCTGCACGAGAAGATCGGGCTCTGCGAGAAAGAGACCAAGCGAGGTCCTCGGAGACGAACGCAGCCACCGAGGACGCAAATACTTATGAGCTTAAAGAGCCTCCTTCCAAACCTGGGAATGCGGCGGGCACAAGTGGTGGAAACCCAATGTTGCCTTCATCTCCTGCAATCCTTGTGTCACAAAATACTGATGAGACAGCGATGGCTACCAGCTCCTCATCCGAATTTATTACTTCACAGCCAGTCCCAGTAGCTGAGAATGCTACAGATAAACGTCTTTCACATGACGAAAAGACAGCAAGATACCAAAACACCAAACTCGACCGTGCGACATCTGCATCCCCGAGCCCTAACCTGTTCGTCTCGTCATCCAGCGGGGAAGTTGGTGAAGAAGGACGAGGTTCACGAGATCTGCCCTTTAAAAAAGAAAATGGCCCTGCTACACTGACTTCACTTTCAAAAAATGGGTTCAGATGGTGCCAGGAAACATTCCCTACGGCAGCGGCTGTCATACTACATTTGCCATTTGCTCTGATCCCTTTCGCATTCTCAATGTTTGTGCTTGTCCAAGCACTGGTAACCAAAGGCTGGATTCCTGTTTTTGCACACGGTTGGGATCACTGGGTGAAGAAGACCGGAACTGTTGGTGCTATTGGTGGTATGGGTTTCCTGTCTGTGGTGCTATGCAATGTATGTTTTGCCGCATCTCCTTCGTGTCCTTGTTTTTAATCTGGTACTAACTCTGCGTAGTTTGCTGGCACGAACATTGGTACGACCATCTTGTTGTCCCGGGTCATTCAAGCGTGGCAAAAGATCAATATTGTAAACCAGACCGACATCAGTGATCGCACATTTTGGGCCACCGTGTACAGCATGGCAATCGGAGTAAATTACGGCGCATTTAGCACTGCATTCAGCGCATCTCTTGCGGGACTTCTTTGGAGGGACATCTTGTCTCGCAAGCATATTCACGTTCAAAGACTAGAATTCGCCTGGGTCAATCTCCCAATTATTGCAGTCGCCATGATTGTCGGCTGCGCAGTTCTGACTGGGCAAGTATACATTGTACGAAGCGATGAGCCGTACAACCATACTTAGACGACGGAGTTGTCATAGAAGGTTTGGGTGCATCAGTAGAATAGGCAGAAGAATCTCCGAGCCGCCCCTTTTGGTTGGGATATGGTATTTGTTGGACAAAAGAATCACACACGGCATTAGCACGTATAAAATCTTGTTTTGACGCGAATTTTGTGGCATAATGGGGCTACAGCAATAGACATACGAAATACAATGAGTAACGACCAGAATTCGAGATGTGAACATTTGAACACTCCACTTGAGCGAAATGCTATCCGGAGGCATCGAGTGGCGTGCATTACCAAAATGAATGACATGACGACGAAAGATGTCACTGTAGTAGAAGCCAGGTGGCCTAAGGGCATGGCTGAAGTTGCGGGAGTATGTCCAGGGGCACCAAGCGGTGTGTGCTTGGGGAGAAGCCACGGTGATAATGACAAATAGCTCGCCTACGCGTCTCAATCTTGTGAATTAGCTGGCTTCAAATCCCTTCAAGAGCACCGACTTGTCTGTATACTACTAAGCTGAACAAATTGAAACTCGTCGCAACCTACAGACCCGAGATGGCCAACGCACGAGTGGTGTTAAACAAGCGTCCCGAGGACAACATCATTCCGGGAGAGACGTTTCGCAAAGTAACTGACCTCGCGCCTTCGCCAAAAGACCTGAAGACGGCGAGATCCTTGTCGAGGTTTTGCTGATTTCTTTGGAGCCAGCAATGCGAGGATGGCTCAACGGCATGTTTGCTTCAAGCGCTGCAGCAAAATTCTTCCGGACAGGAAAGCAGTTGCATCTCAAGATGGCCGAGGCTGACAGGTCTACTATACCCTTTTCGTTCAGAAACGAGATCATACCTCCCTCCAGTCGAAATTGGGGACACTATGCGTAGCTTCTCGGCCGCCCGTGTCATTGCCACCAGGAGCAAGCTCGCCGAGGTTGGTCATGTTGTCATTGCGCTAAGTGGCTGGGCCCAATATGCCATTGTACCGGAGGAATTGTTTGAGCCAGTTTCAACTTTACCCAAAGTCGGCGAGACTCACGGGCTCTTGTCCATGTACGGCTTGGCGGGGATGACGGCGTGGGTGGGAATGACACGAATCGGAGACCCGAAACCCGGCGACACGGTAGTCGTGTCCGCCGCGGCTGGTGCAACGGGTGGCATTGCGGGACAAATCGCCAAGGTCAAGGGAGCCTGGGTGATTGGTATTTGAGGCGGCAAGGAAAAGTGCGACCATGTCCGGGAAAAGCTTGGATTTGACGTGGCGCTGGATTACAAGGCGCGCGATTTCGAGGACAAGTTCATGGAGGCTACGAGGGGTTTCATCGACGTGTATTTCGACAATGGTGAGTCCGGCCGTCCGTGCGGATGCGGAGAGATGGGAATGCTGATGAAAGGGTAGTTGGTGGCAGGATCCTGGACATGTGCCTTGGTCAGGCCAAACAGGGAGCCCGTTTCGTGCAATGCGGCATGATCACGCAGTACAGTCGCGGAGACAAGCAGCTGAACCTGACAAACTACTTCAAAGTGATTTCGATGCGGATCAAGATTCAGGGGTTTGTCGTCGCGGATCACACTGACCTGTGGCCCCGAGCTCGGGAAGAAATGGCACGCTGGGCTGAACAGGGCAGGCTGAAGGCTGATGTGACAATTGTCGATGGGGGGTTGGATGTTGTTGATCAGTTTGTATAATGGGAGCAATACCGGAAAGCTGCTTGTTAGGGTCAAGGACGTGTCCGAGCCTCGTGCAGAGCTTTGATGGTTGACAGATGACAGACTTTTCTCCGTGACGGGTAGACGCTCCCAAACAGAATGAGCAATAGGAACACATTAGTTAGTCTCAGTTATTCATCTCAACCAAAATACAATACGGAGACTATTGCGAAACCACTTGTCTGATTCCAGTGATGTCAAGGAAAGCTCGCCGGCGCTGCAGCAGCCCCGTCAACCAACTCGGCAATCGTGCGGAACTTGAGACTATTAATTGAACTTGAGGCAGGGCACCTTGGCACTTGACGTGGTCAGTCGAGGCGAAGGATAATGGCCAAATACAGTTAGGCAATCAGGGGCCTAGCTGCATGGAACGCGGAGTTTAGGCGCGCCATAGCCGGCAGCTTTCAGTTTACATGTCTCTTAAAGAGAGCGGGAGTTGGCAAGTGAAATCTCGAGCACATATGACTATGTCGACCCGAGAGGACTCTTCGCACAGCGGAACAAATAGCCACTGCTCTGGAATGTGAGATGCGTTTGCGTCAAGAGGGAATTACGGATGTCTAAAAGCCATCCGAGTTATATTACCAGTTATATCTTGTCTAGAATCTCCGCGGCCCCGCCAAGCCTACCTATTGATAATATCACCAACTCTGACATGAGTAGGACGAGGAAAAACATACCTGGCGAGGCAAGCTTGCCGTGCCGTGCATCATACAAGTAGGTGTTGCATATAGTTCTACCTCGTTTCCGGCATACTCGTTTATATTTTATCCACAGACAAAAAAACTACCAAGAGTAAATGATGGTTGGGGTTAAATAAGTTGGTTCGACACAGGAGTTTCTGGCTCCCGACAAGGTCCCAATTACCACACCCATTAACCTCGGAGAGAATCAATGGAAATGCTAGCCTGCCAAGGCATTCCGGCAACAGATATAAGGAACTGGTCCTAATCGGTAGGATATTATGGCAATTTGAACCTCGGTGGCGCGCCACTTGAACCCGAAGCTCTGGAAATTGCCAACGCCTCACCAATCACCGGCTCTCGGCGACAAGTCAAGTCAAGTTGAGGCTAATTTAGCGCAAATACTAGCGTGGTTCTGTCTGGTAGTCTTTCGACAACGGTTATCCGGTCCGGTCCAATAAATTTGACAAAACCATCATGTAATATCCCAAGTTTGTGAAAACAAATATCTCAAAAGCATTTCTGCCGCACACACACCACAGTACCTGGATCAAAGCAAATAATGCACACATCAACTATAATAAAACTCCCCCTTTCTTGTTTCTTGTTCGTCTTATTAAAACAATACACTTTTTGGCGCATCACTGGCTACGCCAACTAATCTTTAGAATGGCCACCATAGATGAAGCCGACATCGCCGCCACAGCCATGACATCCTCTGGAAAAGACGACGCGATAGCCATGGTGGGCGAGGAGAAGCACGCCATTGACCCTGCGGTCGAGGCGAGAGTCGTTCGCAAGATTGACATGTTCCTGATACCAGCCATGGTAATTGGATGTGTGTACAAACGTGAACCCCCTACGCAGACGACAAGATGAAGAGAGAACATCACCATTGCTAACCAACCTCTACAGATGGGCTCGTGTATTACGACAAGGCCATACTCGGCTCTGCTGTTCTTTTCGGCATGACCAGAGACCTGGACCTCTTCATCACCGACAATGCGACATCTCCTCCGACAGTCGACACGCGGCGCCTCAGCTGGGCCACGTCTCTCTTTTACTTTGGCATGCTCGCCGGCCTGTACCCAATGACTTATGCCCTGCAGCGCTTCGACATGGGCCGAGTTCTGGGAGCCATTGTCATTCTCTGGGGGGCCATATGCATGCTCACCGCGGCCGTGACCTCGTGGCAGGGACTCTGCGCCCAGCGCTTCTTCCTGGGCTTCGTCGAGAGCGTCATCCCCACGGGGTTCATGTGCATCGTCTCCAGCTACTACACGCAGCCGGAGCAGTCTGTCCGCCAGAGCTGGTGGTACAGCAGCAACGGCTCCTTCGTCCTCATCGGCGGGGGCTTGAACTACGGCTTCGCCCAGATTGCCGGCGGCGCCCTGCACCCGTGGCAGTACATCTACCTGCTGGCCGGCGGTCTGACCCTGCTCTTCGGGTGCTTCTGCTTCGCGGTTCCCAGCTCCCCCGTCTCGGCGTGGTTCCTCACGCCCGGGGAGAGGTTCGCGGCCGTGGAGCGACTCCGGCACGGCCAGACGGGCGTGCGCTGCACGAGATTCAAGCCGTCGCAGGCCTGGGAGGCGGCGGCCGATGCCAAGGTGTGGCTCGTCGCCCTGATGATGGCCACGGCATACACCGTGAACGGCGCCGTCAGCGGCTTCGGCCCCCTCATCGTCTCGACCTTTGGATGGAGCACCCTGCAGTCCATCCTCCTGCAGTTCCCCCTCGGCGCGCTCTGCGTCGTCGTCATCATGGCCACGGGCTGCCTTGGCTCCCGCTTCCCCAACGCCCGCATCGCCATGCTCGTCGTGTGCTGCCTCCCCGTCATCGCCGGCTGCGCAATCATCTGGAGGAGCGAGTGGACGCACCACGCGGCCGCCCCCGTCGTCGGATACACGCTCACCGGCTTCTTTGGCGGCACCGCCAGTCTCACCATCTCCATTGCAATGTCCAACGTCGCCGGCCATACCAAGAAGAGCTTCATGGCGGCCACGACGTTTGTCGCGTATTGCGTGGGCAACGTTGTTGGCCCGCAGCTGGTTTGGTCCGAAACCAAGGAGGACCATTATCCCGCCTTGTGGTTGGGCTTGATTATATGGTAAGGTTCTTCTCTTTCCCTTGCGCCGTCGTCAGGTCCCTCTGACCGTGTGACAGCTATGTGATTTGCATTTTTGCTGCGGCCGCATTGTACCTGGTTTTGTATCGGGGAAATAAGAAGAAGATGGCTGTCCCAGAGGATGAGACAGAGCGGGCTAAGCTTGCTTTTCAGGATTTAACAGACAAGCAGAACCCGTACTTTCGCTATGTTTACTAGCGCTTGCGCCTTGAGGGTAGGGATGCCACAATGTTTGATGAGCCACGGATACCACATTGGCTGTCCATGTGCATTGAAGTTTGAATTGCCCTACTCCGTACGGAGTACTCCGTATTAAGCCCATATCCCTACAATATAACTAGGGACAGGGGTTGAACCGTTATGTAAGGGATGGGTTTCTAGGGCAATGGCTTCGGAACGGTGAGACACAGCCCAGTCCCTTCAAATGCTCTGAAATTCTGAGAGCTGTCTGGTCTACACCCCGCTTGACTGCAATGTTGTGACATGTATTGATGCGTTTCATCATTCAAAACGGTGTGTATCTATGTACTCTGATAATGTCTATATAGAAGGGAAAGATGGCATAGCTCATGCAGTAAATTGAAGCCCGTACGGCCAAGTGAGTCGCCGAGACCAAAATATGAAGCCCCCCCCCCCCGGTAGCTCCCAAAAATCCATGTATGTCATTTAATGTCGTAATCGCTCCGTTCAACGTCGTCCGCTACAATAGCGTTCAAAATACCCGGCTAACGCTGGGTCCAACCCAACGCACCTGCTCACATTTCCTCTCATTCCTCCAGCTTTTGATGCGGTCTTCGACCCATCCACTCCGATACTCTACCCACTTTCCTTGGGCCTGTTTATCAAGTTCGTATTCGGGCATCGTTACTCGCTGTCCATCGTCCAGTAAATATTCCGGCTTTCGAGCCGCTCCATACCTCACTGACCTCATGAGAATACATTTCTTCTCGTCACCGCCTCGCCAGTTCCACTGAAGACAGTCATCTTGTCTTCGGCAGTATTGCTCGCAGGTTCCGGAGCCACGGATAGATGCTTCTGCAGGTGGTTGCCAGCTGTCCCAGTCTCCGTTATCCCAATTCTCAAGAGTGCTAGGCTCGCCGGGATGTCGAAGACGCCACACATCGGAGTACAGCATGGGGCGCTATTGCCATTTAGCAAGCTGTATAGGAGGACAGGTCGCTGGTTTCCACTTCACTTACATGCAGTTGTCGTTGCCCAAACTCCCAGTGCCACAAGTCAACCATGTCTTTTGGAGTCGTTTTGTGTAGCGTCATTACCGGCTGGCACCAGTACAAATCACTGAATGGAATGCCATGAAGGGGGTGAGGATTGAACATTGGCCAGTACCCTTGCAGTTGAATAGTGATATTCCAAAGAGCCCATCCGAGCACGCTGTCGCCGCAGCACTCACCAGCCACGAGATCTTGCCATTTCTCCGTGACATGAGGGTCGACATAGTGGCCATTGGTGTCGATCTCGCGATGCAATAGCGCCTTGATTGCGCCTCTGCTCAAAACCAAGCCAGGTCCGCCATTAGCGAACCAGGTTTTGACGTCTCGCTCAGGGTCGTGCCGGCCGGGGGATGGTGAGCCCATGTAGATGGGGGTGTCAGGGTCGAAGCTTTCGAGAAACCGAAAGACGTTGTCCCAGAATACATACGTATCTGCTTCGTAGAAAAAGTAAAAGGCCTTGCCGGGTTTAGCTAGCCAGGCCCGTTCAACCATGGGCAGAAACTTGTACTTGTCGAGAATCCAGCCATCGATTGCCGCCTGCGTCTCCTCGTTCAGAGTGCCATTGTTGCGCATTTCCTTCTGCGCTATGTAGTTTCGGAAACTGGGGTTGTTGTCTAGGTTGTAGTAGTCCGCAGGTAAATCGGCGAGTACGTCAATCGTTTGGTGGTCATGAACCACCTCGTCCAGGTCCGAGATGACCAATAAGTCGTCCGTGTTGAAACATGACGAGACGGAGCTGAAGCTTGCATCGAGCCTTTCTTTATTTTCGCTGTGGCCAATCTTCAAAACAGGCTGGACATGGTTGAGAAGATACCTGGGGAAGGAGGCGCACAGGTCGTCCCTGCTCATTCCTTCCGGGTTGTCAAAGGTCACGGGCGAGAAGCGGCTGGCTGACTTGAACGAGTAGGTGTCGGGCCCCGTGTGCTGGCGATGGAATGGCAATACGCCCTTGGCTTGGTCATGGCGAGTAAGCACAATCCCAACGGCCAACAGAAACGTCAGCACGCCAACGACCATGCGCGCAAGTCGCTTGGTGAGCATCAAGCCCATCGGCCGTGGTTCGACCGGGCCTCGGAGGATCGCCATGGTTGTCAACGCGGCATCGCAAACGCAGTCGGCGACCACCAGAGATCAAACACCGCCAACGGTGCTGTGACTCTGACGGGATGATTCGATAAGGCAAATCGACCGAAGAGACGGATGCGAGAACTAGCAGAGTAGGATGGATGGAATGACTTGGATTTCTGGGTAGCGCTAGTTGCGCTACTATATACAAGCCTCCCATGACGCCTGGACTGACAAACAAAGACAAGGAAAGTTTCACTAGGAACTAGTCTGAATTGCGACGGACTATCTCCACCTACTTTGACGTTGGCAGGTTTGGGTGGCCCTGGATCAGGGGTTTTACTGATGGTCAAGGGCGAGAGCCAAGATGTCTCTCATGTGGACTTCCCAACCCCATTGCAGGCGATGTGGGAATTTGTAAATGGTATGGGAAACGTCTCAAACAACCCATGCGCCTTGAAGCATGCATGAACTAAGGATTGCCGCCATCAGCCACGTCTCCCGGCAATGACTACCGATGCACTACCGGATGTAGCTTGTCCGTCTGCATCGTCGCAAAGAGATTCGACAACAACAATGTTGGAATAAGCAACTCTTCTCTCGTGTAGTACTCTTGCCTGAATTTCTGTAGTCTCGAGGCTTAGAGAGGGACCTATTTAGTTTTCGCGACGCCGATGCTTGTACATCCCCCCCCCTGAAAGTTTCTTCATGCGTGACCTGACAGGGTAGCTACAAGCAGGGGGTAGCGCACTATCTGTGATTCATATATTTTAGTTGGTAATGTGTTAAGAGGCTTATAGGGATTTATGATAAAGACCTTAGCTTATTAAGGAATCTTGGGGAGTGTCAGGTGTTTATTGTATTCGCTTTTCTCTTATAAGACCTTTTAACCCCCCTGCCAGGTCACTCATAAAGAAACATTCAGGGGGGGGGACTGTACAGGAGTTGCATCCACATGCCGATCCTAGCTCCGGGCTGGATCTGCGGCTTGTTGGCGTATTCCAATGCGGTTGGGCTGTAGAGAATTGAATAGTAGTGGATCTCAGCGGCGACCGTACAAGCCGCCATACTGTGGTGCATGGGAAGGGCCATTCCTTGGTCACTACGGAAGGTTCACGATGCCAGAAGCCATCTGGTTTTAATACCTGATACTGGTCAATTAACCTAGCTTTGGCCATTTATATACCCTTTTTCGAAATGGAAGAACATAATGACGACTCTAAGAGGTTCCTCGACAAGTTGCTCGACACCACAGCAGGTCACTCATCTCTCTTATACTAGACAAGCTTCTCAGTTCTATTAGAAATCTCAAATGCATAACCCGGAATATCATCTGCTAAATCTTCTAGTACGTCGCTGGATCAATGCTTTTGATAGCTGTGACTGTACTGCCTTTTCATAAACATGTGTGTATGAGGATTCCAGGTACCAGCTTACATATCTATCAGAGTCTCTGGGGTGTTGTTCCAAAGCATGAAGAGCAGAAATCACGCATGACGGATCTCTGTAGATGGCAGCGCAGTCAAAGCTTCGATGATGGTACTTTTTTGCTGCAGTGAGCCGTGATATCTGTTAAGTGAAGCATGTAGTGTAATCGTTAACTAAAGCGAGCGGCTACGCCTGAATTATGAATATATACAAGGACGACAGCCTGAGGCACCAATCCAGATTGACTCCACACCTCAACAGCATTAACCTCTAGTTACCCCGCATCAATGTTCTTTCCTCCACAATCAGCTTCGTTAATAGGGGTTATGTCAATACCACCGCCTGTTGGGTATAAAAGTTATATCTCCTGTGCCTAGACCGCTTCATTCCTCCCGATAAAGACGTTCCATGTGACTCAAATGGCAGCAAAATGACAAGCAGTGCGGCATGTCTTTTTGTAAATTGTCGAACAAGCATAGCAGGCTCTCTACAATGGCGAGTCCAAAGGGTACCAGCAACGCCACGCAATTGCTGGTGTTCAACAATCAAAGTTGACGTGGTGAGGCACGGCTGGCGTTGATAAGGCTGTGTCCCACCGTCGCATAATATCGGAGTTGCTCTCGCGAGATAGCGTCTCCCGGAGAACATATTCGTACGGCGAAGCCTGCGAAGCGTCCCGTCACTCATTGCCTTGGATATGCACGCGGAATAGGCTCAAGTCCTTGCTTAGTATTGCCGATGGCCGATTTCTCCTGGCCTGCCTTTCAAAGTCTATTTAAATACGGGGCTCTTGGAAACAAAAACCGAGATCATTGCTGCGTAGCGACACAACCAATCATCATCTCCAAGTTGGACGCCCTCAATGCTACCGAAACCAAACACGCAAAGAAGGCAATGCACGTGGAAACAACAACCATTTGAGTGCTCTTTCGCGACTCGCTCTCAAGTGCAGCAAGGTGTACTGTCAGAAAAACGGCCATGACCACAGCAATAATGATGCGAGATAAAATATCGGCCACCAGTGCGTTATTGGGGGGGAAGACCACTGTCGGTTGCCCTTCCATGAACTGATACCGACGCCCTCTACCTTGTCGACGCCTGACCTGCATATTCGTTGGTAGCGAAGCAGCCGAAGAAGCTTGTGGGCGGATCGTTGTAGAGGATCATGCCGTGTGCGAGAGATCTGGTCTATCCTTAACAGTCTAGTTTTGAACATTTCATGCAAGCTAAGATCTGATTTTAGGTTGCATTGTTTTTCGTCGTCGAGGAGAGAAAAGGCATCCATGGACATGATGTTACTGAAGGCAATTATTGCCTCGTCTACCTTAATATTAATAGGGGCGCACCGAGATAGGAAGTCTTTACGCACCGTACTTCTTTAGTAGCCGGCGGAGCTTCTGTATAAGCTGCTCAGAAAGATCCTCGTCAAGAGGAGGAACCGCCTCATCTCTCTTACAGTACCTCGGTCCCAGCCTATCGGTCTCGGTGGGCGCTTTGTCTAAACCAAGGTCCAGCCGATAAAGGTGATCTGTTTCCCAAATCTCAGACTCTGGGAACCGCAGATTAAGCAGGTGTGTAGTTTTGAATCGACGGAAACCATGGAGTCTCAGGTTGCTATCCGCAGTGCTGGCCTGCCAATGACTGGGGAATTGTTCGCTGAGGCTCTGCCCTGGCCAAACCGAAGACATAGCTGTTCACTCGGCAGGCCTAAGCCTTCGGCTAAAGTCTATGAAAAGAAAGGTGCTGGGACTTTGGATGTGAGCCGAATGGCACGAAAGTTGTATATTTATTATATGCGACTCTGCGGTCGTCGATCCTATCAAATCGATACCAGTCTCTTGTGGGTAATTCTCAGGGCCCCTTGGCCTGATGATTCCTGTAAGAGCATCGCAGCAGAGGAAGCCACTGCATCACGAATTACGAAGACAATCATGATTGAAACACGTCACAAACAGGGCGACAACATGAGGCTTTTTGCATCCTTTCAAGTCAGTGACTGACAAACGCGAAGACTGGAATTGGCAGCCCTGCCATGCGGCGCAGAAGGATGCGTGGCGGAGGCAAGTTGAGCTGTCGACCGGTGAGCTGTGCAGGAGGGCTGCACAAGACTGTTGATGAGCCCAGCCATCTAACAATTTATTTTGCAGGCAGTTCCAACCTTTCTCCTCGCCTCATCACCTATTCATGAGCTCCAAACGCCTGGCCTTTCGCGCACACCTTTGTGATACGGCATATCCCTTTCCAGGATCGTGAACGAAGTAGCAGCAACTATGTCAGACCCTGCTGACTACACTATTGGGTGGATCAGCGCCTTTCACGAGTACGTTGCTGCACAGGTATTTCTCGATGATAGACACGAAAGGCCGAAGCAGCTTCAGCCCAACGACGAAAATCATCATGTGCTGGGGACGATTAAAGACCACAAGGTTGCCATGGCCGTTTTGCCCGCCGGGCAGCACGCCGTGGTATCCGCGTCGCTGGCGGCGACACACAGGTGGCAGACGTTCCCCAATTTAAGAGCGTGCCTCATAGTTAGCATCGGTCGCGGCGTATCGAGCGATAGATACGATATACGCCTGGGCGATGTTGTCGTCAAACCTGGAGCAAGATGCATGGCAATCAAGGTGGAGTTGACTATGGCAAAACGATTCGAGAGAAGTGTTTCCAAAGCGCAAGGTTTTTAAACAAACCAACATGGGCTCTTTTGAACGCTGTAGAGAGACTGCGCGCGGAATATGAAATACATGGAAACCAGATCAATGTGTCTGTTTGCACCATACTTGAAAAGCACCCAAGGCTGCAAGTAAAGTACTGCCGACCGGATCCAGACACAGATAGACTTGGTTCATCTTCACTGGTTAACCGACCTAACGGACTGAACAAGATGGTAATTCAGCTGTCCACTACGGCCTAGTTGCTCCGGCAGATAACTTCCTGGAAGACGCTCAGATCCGAGACGTTCTATTGAAGGAGCTGGACGTCATGCTTCGAGCTGGAAGCCGCGGGACTTGTAAACGACTTACCGTGTTTGGTCATTCGTGGTATTTGCGACTACGCTGATGAACACTCATCACAGGAGTGGAAAGGCTATGTAGCCATGGCAGCTTCTGCCTATGCCAAAGATATTCTACCTGAGCTTGTTGCAGCACAGGTAGAGGCTGAGAAGAAGATTGTAGATATTATATCTGGTTAGTTGCCTATCTTAACCAAATTGGTAGTTGAAGCGTTGGAATGAGATTGTAATTAATCTCCATTTACAGGCAGCCATGGATTTACAATAGAGGGCCTGGAAGCTGCACAGGAGCATCTCCAGATTCAGAAAAACCTAGTCAAGGAGACACTGCCTGAAACAGAGCGAAAGTGTCACCAACTGTTCCGCCTCACAACTACCGGCAGTGACGTCACGTATGAGTGGTATAAGGATCGAGCGCACATGCCAATGGTTTCTCAGACATGAGCATTTTCAGGCATGGGTAGAGCAAGAGTCAGGCCCGCTGCTAGTCACGGCAGACCCTGGCTGTGGAAAGACGGTATTAGCCAAGTACTTGGTCGATCACGGCCTGTCGCGGACGACAATCTGCTACTTGTTCTTCAAAGACCAGGACCAGAGCACTGTAGGGCAAGCGTTTTGCGCACTACTACATCAACTGTTCTCTCAGGAGCCCTCTCTAATTAAACATGCTATGATGGAGTTAGATAAGGAGGGCCAGGGTTTATCAGCTTAACAGGATCGCTCTGGAGGGTTTTGCAAAACGCTACAGCAGATCCTCACGCTGGATCTATTATCATAGTCCTTGATGCTCTAGACGAATGTGTCGAGACTTTGGTCAAACGGCTCTAATTTTCGCAAGAAAAGGCATGAGGTCATAGTTAGGCTTTTGCCCGAGAAGGAGCCGATATTGAGGCAAAGTATTACTTTGGCGAAACGCCGCTGTTACTCGCAGCCAAGAAGCGGCAAGAGGCTGTGGTTAGGCTACTGCTCGGAATGGCGCTATTATCAAGGCAAAGGATAGCGGGCATAATCAGACGCCACTATCATGGGCCGCGCTGACAGAGGGCACGAGGCCATGTTCAGGCTGCTGCTCGACAAGGGCGCCAGCCTCGAGACGCAATTATGAGAGCTATATTCGGACACAATTGTTGTTCGACTAAGCACCAGCATGGGGCCTTTATACGGCTGCTCCAATGTCTAGAACGCTGTCACAAAGCACATCAGGAAAATTGGAAGAAAGCAATGTGAATAGACATAGTACGGCGAGAATAGGTTCAAGTTCCGCACCCAGCTCATGAACCGCCGAGCTTTTTGCTAATAGGGCAGCTCCCCTTCCCCGATTGAAAGCCTAATATAACAGCACTGAGATACTACACGTATTAACAGAGCTAATGATGGCCACTGGTGCACCCAATGTTGCCGGTTCCATGAGGCTGGACACGTCTCGGCGCGAGGTTGGCCCCCTTGTGCGTGTTTTCTGAGAAAATGCTGAGAAGCCAACGACCAATTCTTTGAGAAACCAAATCAAGGGTTCATAACTATAATAACTCTCATTGTCTCACTATGGCTTCTGCTATGCCGGATGATTCCTGTTGTGCACGTTAAAAAACCATATTAATACCCCGTCTTCAACTTTGTCATGCGTTCTCACTCGCTTTGATAGCTTGCACACCCGAACCCTCTTCACAACCCCCTCTGTCAATAGTTACTGATTATCAGGTTGGCAGTTCCACAGGATACAGAGACGGCTTTCCATACTCCGAACCTTGCAATTCACTGGGACCCCAGCCCCCAGTGAGACGATTACTATACTTGTAGCCCTTTACTCCAGGAGTTTCAGCGCTTTCCCGAGGGGCTGGTAGGTTTGGAGACGGGCTGCGATTACATCGATTAGATCGGCTTCTTCTCAGAAGATATATGGCTGCAAGGCCAAAACTACACAACACGGCAATACCTCCGATAACTCCCCCTATGATGGCCCCAATAATGTTGGGGGATGAATCCGCCTGGACGCTGTCGCTATTGGCTGGACTTGCCGGCAATGTGTTTACAGAGGTCGAAATTGAAGGTCCGTCAGACGTCTTTGAAACATTCTTCGTGGTGGTGGGAGTAGCCCGGGCTGTTGACGGTGCAAGATTGTCGTCAGTCGTCAGAGTAGCCTGGGCCGTTGGCGATGCAAAGTAATGGACCGTCGTGGGAGTGCGACCACAAGCATAGTATGTGTACGTCTGATCAACTCCAAACGTCAGGGCTGCAAACGAGCAGAATTTGCTTGTTTCACTTACGAATGCACTGTCAGTAACACGTAGCCTCCATCCCGGGTAGCAAAGAGGGCCGTCTTACCAGGTAAATGTCGTCAATCTAATATTGTCACCATTTCCACATCCAGCCGAGCAGGAGTGGCTGTCTATGCAAAACCCTTGCAGGCCACAGTCCGTAGCAGCAATCACTGTTGTTGGGCAGAACCCCCATAAGCCATTGACGGTATCGACGCGGCAGTTGAATCCGGATTCAGCAGTGCGAGATCTCTTGGGGTCGCCGTCTTGGTAACCACAAGTCGACATTTCAGTCTGGCTGACAAGTCGCTTCCCGAGGGCTGCTGTGTTCCGTTGTGACAGGGGAGCTGTAGGTCTGGGATATGAATTGTGACGATTCCAGGCATCTCCTACGGTGAATTGAATGAAGGCCAGGGAAAAAAAAGGAAGTATTCGTCCGTACGGAGCCATGGCTCTAGCCTCAGCCCTGTTCTTCAACAAGGTAATACAGCTCGCCGGTATGGGTTGAAGTCCAAAAGAAGCAAGTATCTGAAAGAGACAAGTATAGAGTACCGCAAAAGGAGCAAGGAAGAGCGGACGAAAGTTGTGATAAATGTCACCCTCCATCGTCAAGGTGGGCGCAGGGGGTGACTTGTCCTCCGGCCTCGCAGGCAGACATGATAATTCTGCCAGGCGCCGATATCTAAAATGATGCCCGGAATATTGGCCAAAAATGGCGTTTGTTGGCTCTAGATGTCACCCCGGCGGTTATTCTCCCTCAACGTATGGCGCAACTGGGATGACGGCGTTTTAAATGGTCGATGTGTGGCCAATGGCGAACCCAGCTGCGATTGGATACAGATCCAACAACAACAGCACCGACCATGGCCACTATGGCCACCATGGCTCGGTGTGCGTGGACGACCCCTTTATTTGTTGGCTTCGGTTCCCTCTCGTTCTCTTCCAGCTTTGCAATGCGGCCCTTGGTGTTTTGCTACGCCTCAGCAGGCCGTAGATGTCCTCAACATGCATAGGAGGCTTCTTGCGTTGGCAATTCCGTCGATATCCTTGTTTTTGGTTGCGACGACGCTGTACCTTGGGAGGGACCGATTTGCGTGGCCGTTGCGTCCAAGTGGCAGAAAACACAAAACTCCAGAGGAACCAGTGTTGGGACAGGTTGCTAATGGTACGTATGACTTCACAAGATTGAGCCCGGCATTCCGCGCAAAGCAATGTTAACCAGTGCCATTTGCCGTCTTCTCCAGGAACCGTGCTACCGGCCGCAAGGATTACACAGTATCTAGAGGCAATTTTGAACCCTTGGTCTTCTGAGTTACCAACCCTCGAATGCCCTGCGATCAACACAACACGGTACGATGCGCTACGGGACGGCGACTTCTCAAGCGCTACCACCAGATATTTCTTTGCTTTGAACCTGCGGCAAAACCTCCCTTTGTTGCCTCGTCTGATCGGCAGCATAGTGGAGGCAATTCGATTTCTTGGGCCCGAGCATTGCGCCTTGTCGATTGTCGAGGGACACTCTCCCGACGGCACTGCCGATGTGCTTGCGGCACTTGGGCCAGCTCTCGAGAGCATGGGCACCCCGTATTACCTTGAATCGTCTGAAATCGATCCAAGCAAGGGCGAACGGGTCGCCCGCCTCGCTGCGCTGCGAAATATAGCTCTGGCGCCGCTCTTTACTCTTCCCGGCAAAACGACCAAAGACGCGACCGTCGTTTTTCTCAACGACGTGTCGGCGTGTCCCGAAGACATCCTCGAGCTGCTTCACCAGAAGCGAGCTATAGGCGCCGACATGACGTGCGCCATGGACTGGACATATGTCGGCCGCGACCCGACATTCTACGATGTATGGGTCGCGCGCAACATACATGGCGATTCATTTTTCAATATTCCACCAGACGGAAGCTGGGACTCGGCATGGAACCTCTTCTGGAACGCCCAAGAGACCCAGGCTCGCTTTTTCGACAGGCGCCCGTTCCAGGTCTTCTCCTGTTGGAACGGCGCGGCTGCGTTTACAGCCCAACCCATCTTGCAAAAGACAGTCCGCTTCAGGGCCGCAAACAGAGCGGCGGGCGAATGTGAGCAGGGCGAGCCTCAGCTCTTCTGTAAAGATTTGTGGTTCAGGGGGTACCGCAAGATTGCTGTGGTGCCCTCCATCAACTTGGAGTACTCTGTTAAAAAGGGGAGGATGATCAAAGAGGCCAAGGGCTTCACTGGAGATACCGTGTCGAAACAAGATGCCTCGGGGGACAGGATCGACTGGCGGCTTGATCCACCGGACAAGGTGAGATGCATGCCTGGCTGGGAGAACCAGTTTTGGCAGTTGTGGAACGAGACTTTGAAGCGATAAGTCCAACCGGGCCAGATGACTGTGTATAGGTTTGAGGTGTCGGCTCTTCCTTTTCTTTGGGTTAGTTTGTAGGTGGAATTACCAAGATGTCTTCATGTCATGTGGCGCATGATGATGATGATGATTTGTTGAGACAATTGTCGGCTGGGATGCCCTTTGGGTGTCTCCAGACTGCTGGTCGTAGATGGTACTCGCTCCGGTGAGGTTCATCAGGAAATCAATTGGCATATGCTCGAATTGATGCCGGGCCAATCTTAGACACACATTACAGTCCTTCCCGCACAGCTAACACAACTTGGTCCAATCCCGCAAAGGAGCAACCAACGCCCGCCCTCTCCTATATGCATGTGCGTCGGATATTAGACACATCTTGATGAACTTCAATACTCTGCCGTGATGGAAGCCGTAGCCTTTTCTCAAGCCCGATGCCCGGTAATATCAAGCGACCTGGTATTGGAGGAGCCGACGGTACTGGCACAGCTGCCGATGTAACATCGTGGATCAGAAATAACCTCCATTGTCCGGAAATTTGCCCGATATCCCCGCGGTGGCTTTGTCGATCCGCCTCCAGCCGTATTCACTCTTGACCATTTCTACACCCTTTGCCCCGCGCAATACAACAATGGGATAGTAAGCCCATGGCCTTGTGACACCCTAGTAGATTCGCTCAGCTGCATAAGGGTCCCAGGAGGAGGAGGATTCTATAAGTTGGAGTGCTTTGATTCCCCCTCCATTGTGTAGCCTTTTACTCTTACCCGGCAGCCAGAAAACACCTTGCAGGTTTGTGCAAAGGGTCGACAATATTCCGTGCATTGGCTGTGCTTGAGAGAAGCTCACCAATATTTCAGTCTTGTGCGACGTACACGTACGCCGTCGTATCTACAAGACCCTGATGCCAATGAGCGAGTTGTCCTAGGGGTACCAGTTGACCATGAAGCCTGGCTGGGCCTTTATTACACCCTCTGGGGGCCCTTCGGGGACCCTGCCGGGGGCCGCCTGCGGCGAGCTCTGGCCTGCGGCCGCCTTTACTGCCTGGTGGCTGCTGTTGCTAGCTGTGGCTGCTTTCCTGAAACCAATTAAATGCTCAAGAAGGCTCTCATTGTATAATAAATTAAAAAGGTAAAGCGGGAAGTTATGGCTAAGTTAAGCTTACTTACCCACGTTTCGTAAACTTTACTTGGCAATTAAGTTCATCCCGAGTGCCATGTTGAATGTGCACATGAATGCTTCTAATATGGCGCTTTCATGGCCGTGGGGGGCCCCTGCGGGGGGCCGCCTGCGGCGAGCTCTGGCCTGCGGCCGCCTTTACTGCCTGGTGGCTGCTGTTGCTAGCTGTGGCTGCTTTCCTGAAACCAATTAAATGCTCAAGAAGGCTCTCATTGTATAATAAATTAAAAAGGTAAAGCGGGAAGTTATGGCTAAGTTAAGCTTACTTACCCACGTTTCGTAAACTTTACTTGGCAATTAAGTTCATCCCGAGTGCCATGTTGAATGTGCACATGAATGCTTCTAATATGGCGCTTTCATGGCCGTGTGTTAAACACTGGCCCGCCTGTTAACCACTCAGCCCCTGTAACCTAAATTGACCACCCTAATCATCGTGAAAAGCACCAGTTGACTCTACTCCCCCCTCACTCTATCACTTCCACGTCACTGTCACTCTCTCCAACCCCCTCATTAACCCCATCCCCATCTCCATCATCACCCCCATCATCATCCCCATCATCACCACCGTCACCCTCCCCACTACCTTCCCTATTCTTATCCCCGTTCTTATCACCCTTCTTACGTTGGCGCTCAATCTATCGCGCGTGCTTCTTGGTGAGCCTGGCATCCCGTTCTAACGTCTCCTCCTGCTCACGTAACTCCTTGGTAACGAGCTGTCTACTAGCTGAAGCCTTACGCTCCCGGTTACCTTTACAAAGGGTTTCTACCGTCTCCTTTCAGGCCGGGTTATCGGGAACACGACCGGCTAGTTCCTTGACTGCCTCCTGTAGTTCTAGGGCGAAGTCACGTCGAGCTGTATAACGGGAAGTACCCCTTAGCATCTTGGAAATCCTTGAAACATCTCCAACACCTGAAGCACAACTGGCATTGCGAAATACTGATGAACTTCCATTCTGTATCGTCCCAGATATGGAGCAGCATGCCATGAAGCTGAAGTCTTGGCCCAAGAAGCTGTCGTGGCTGGGCTACGTAGCAGGCACCCTGGTGAGAAATGTGCCACATGATCCATCGGTAGGTTTTACTGTCGCTACTTCATGTTTTGCGCCTTGGTTCTAACTTAGGTTTGAAAGGGAAAACTTCCCACTCTTGGATGGAACTCTTGGAACGCGTACCATTGCGATATCAATGAGCAGCATTTCCTTGATGCTGCCCAGGCACTGGTCGATACTGGCCTGCGCGATGCCGGTTACAAATATGTAAACAGTCAGTGGTCTTTGCGGCTCTTGTTTTGCTCACCAGACAGCGACTAACTTTGATAATAGTTGATGACTGCTGGTCTGAAAAGACTGGCCGTGTTGATGGCCATATTGCGGTCAACAAGACCCGTTTCCCAGCTGGCATCGACGGGCTTGCCAAGAAGATACATGATATGAAGCTCAAGTTTGGCATTTACAGCAGTACACAACTCCCATCCCTTCCGATGGTCGTCCCCCCCTACAGCTTAACACCAGGTGGCTGACATGATCAATAGCGGCTGGTACTCTGACCTGTGCCGGATACCCGGCCAGCTTGGGGTATGAAGATGTCGATGCCGCCGATTTCGCCAAATGGGGAGTTGATTGTAAGTTCAACACGACCTCGCTAAACTCCTCACCCATCATCTGACACATGCTAACCCTCTCCAAGACCTGAAGTAGTAAGCCTTTTCCCCCTCTCACACGGGTTGCCATACACCATGGGCTAAACCACGACTCACACAGCGACAACTGCTACATCCCCCCCGAATGGCAAGATGAATACATCTTTTGCGAGGAAGACGGGGCCAAGATCGGCCCCAACGGCACCTGCAGCCGAAGCCGGAATCCCAGCCTGGCCCCGGACGGCTACGACTGGAGCAAGTCCAAGTCGGCGCGGCGCTTCAACCGCATGCGCGACGCGCTCGCCAAGCAAGACCGCGAGATGCTCTACAACCTCTGCATCTGGGGCACCGCCGACGTCTTCTCATGGGGCAGAAACACGGCGATAAGCTGGCGCATGAGCGGCGACATCAGCCCCAACTGGCGCTCCGTCATGCACATCCTCAACATGAACTCGTTCAAGATGAACGCCGTCGGCTTTTACGCCCACAACGACGCCGACATGCTCGAGGTGGGCAACGGGGACCTGTCGCCCGCCGAGACGCGCTCGCACTTTGCGTTTTGGGCGGCCATGAAGTCCCCCCTGCTGGTTGGGACGGATCTGCGCAAGCTGAGCCGCGACAACGTGGACCTGTTGAAGAACAGGCACCTCCTGGCGTTTAACCAGGATTCCAGGCACGGCAAGCCGGCCGCGCCGTACAAGTGGGGGGTCAATCCCGACTGGACTTATAACAGCACCAATCCTGCCGAGTACTGGGCCGGGCAGTCTACGGACGGACACCTGGTGCTGATGCTGAATACGCTCGGGAGCACGGCGAGGAAGACGGCTGCGTGGGGTGAGATTCCGGGTCTGGGCGGTGGCAAGTACATCGTGACGGACGTGTGGTCCGGCAAAGACTTGGGCTGTTTGGACGGGTATTCGGTTGATGTTGCTTCTCATGATACGGCCGCCATTTTGGTCGGTCAGAGGTGCTGAAGCTCGGTTTTGGAAGCAGTTGGGATGATGAAGATGGGGTCTGAATCGTCACCATGTGACGGGCATCCTCGGCCGAGGCCTATTGGCCAGCTATTTTCGACTCCTCCTACTACAGCGGCTTCTCCCTTCACTCAGACGTCTGCCGCTTCTTTTAAGCATTGGTGGAGTCCTCCTACGCTGGCTCTTTTCCCTGGGCTCGCTCGTCCTGATCTTGGGCAGCGACAGAGGGGTGACAGTGTTTCTGTCGACCCTGCCCTTACGGCCACTGCTTCTCTGGAGAATGCTCTTGGTCTGGTTACCTCTACTAGCTCGGTCGAGCCGCTTCCCTCTCTTGACACCTCTCCTGGCCCAGATTCTAGTGAAAATCTGGAAGACACCCCAAGTTCGTTACACCACATATACCGCCAAATAAGAAATATGCTAACGTCACTGTAGGCCTAGTAACAACGTCTGGTACCCGCCACTCTCGTGGCCTATCTGCTGGTGTTTAAAGCAACGCTAAGTCGGTACGAACAAAACAATGAAGTGTTATGAGAAAGGAGTATTATTACTAACTAATACTAGTCTCCTACTTTACAGGCTGGCCGCCGTTGTTCCGCTCGCTTAAGTAACGCCTTTAAGTAGCGTTTAGTTTGCGATTATTAGTTGGCATATATATTTGTTGCCTTGTTTTCACTACTTGAGGATTAGTTGTTTTTGCTATTACCTCTATTGCCTCTGGCCGATGGAATGGCCTTGTTTTCACTACTTGAGGATTAGTTGTTTTCGTTATTATCTCTCTTGCTCCTGGCTGATGGAACGGCCTTGGTATGTTTTTTTTATCATGTTATTAGCTCATTTAAGCAGATATTTCTTGCTTTTGTTTAACTAGACAGTGCTTTCTAGGCAGTAAATGTGGATATAAATATATCGGCTTTATGATCCGTAACTTTACACTTGTGCACTAGCTCTAGAAGGACCTACGTAAGAGTTGAATGTCTACTTGAGGGCTACTATTAATAAGCCTTACAGCTGGCAGCACTATGCTCCCACCACTCCCCGCATTAATAACATGTCTCTCTCACGTAAATGCACAAAACACTAAACTTCTTGCCTGCTCTACATAAAAGGCTGCCCACGACATTCAAGTACGCCACATGCTTACCAGTAGCCAAGTCACCGAACTCGCATACACAATACTCTGCGACAATCAGCTGGTTTATCACCGCCATGGCCACACTTCAACCTGATCAACGGCTGCGGCTTGGTGCCGATGGTGTTGCTTTGGGCAACACGAGGTGGTGGTGTATTGTTCTATCGGCACTTGTGAATCTTGGTGCTTCTCATGCATGACGTCCAGATTGATGGGTATAACTCCCCAACACAAGTATTAACATGTGCCGCTGGCAAACTTGTATATGCGCGAGTGCGCCAATATCAGCCCGTTTGCCGTCATTGCTTGCCTGCCTTGAAACTTGAAAGATTGATCAATAAGTGATTACATATTAATTAAAAGAATCAAGTCTTTATAAGCACTTGTTTATACTTGTTTATACTTGTTTATACTTGTTTATACTTGTTTATACTTGTTTATACTTGTTTATACTTGTTTATACTTGTTTAAATGTATACGTCTTTTTGAATTACTTGATTTTACCCATGGGTTACTATGGGTTCACCGACCGCCCATGACAACCCATAGGTACTAAATGGGTTACCCATAACTGGGTACCCACGGGTCTTTTCCAGTTGACCGTTCAATAGTTATGTGTAGTGTTCTTGCCAGCTGCCTGAACATGCTCGGTAGATGGTTTTGACGAGGCTTAAACGTGGATGGCGGAGAATGGTCTACACGACGGTCCAGTTGACAGCTCTGTGTCACATTCAGCGGTCGATAGCCTCGCACAGATTTGCTCGAGGGGACATTGTTCAATAGCGACTTGGTTACCGTTACTACATGATGCAGCATACTGTGCTTAAATGTGGTGCTGCCATCACGCACCAGTGGCTTGATAAGAGCAGCCGCAGCGTAACCCTGCCACGCGAGTAAATTCAGGCGCCTCCTTTAGATTGCGGCTCACATGCCGGCTTAGTCGAGCGCCGTCTATACTTTGATTCATATGCTGCCGAACAAGGGGCTGTCTCTCGGAACGCATGATGGGCGCGTACGCCTTGCAAATTTGGCCCTTTGAAGGACCAGACACCAAGTGTGATGTCATCTATCCAGCGTCAGACACATCAAGTTCCAGACTGTCTGGTTTAAGCCTGCTCGCCCTCGGTGGTCGTCTTGGTATTAATTCTCAGGAATAAGAACTCGCAAGCAGACAACTCGAAAGGGAAACTATGTGAAAAGTGGGATAGAGTTGTGGAATGTATCGGTACGTACCTTGCGGCTCTCTGGTCCAGGAAAAGCATTTAAACTTGAGGAGAATATAATAGGACTGTGGTGCCTCTTTGGTTAGACTGAAGTGATTTGAGCCCAGGGGGCCATTCAGCGACCTTGCCATGGATGGTTCTACATATTTTCCGTTTAGTTAGCCAACAATACATGTTGGCTGCAGAGATTGTGTTCTCATCCCAACGAGCCGGATCATGGATGGCTGGTCCAGCCTCCTTCAGCTTTGTAACTTTATGTAGTTGCTAAAAGCTTACAGCCACCAACCACCACGAGTGTGTATTAGCCCGGAGGCAGCCATCTGTCAGGTCCAGCCAACCATGTTCGTTATTATTTTAAGCAAAGGATGCCCCAAAATTAGCCGGGTGCTCAGTTGACACGAAGTTTCTTTTCTTGCGCTGCTGCATGAAAATCGCCTCGCTGACAATATTGCAACATGAAAAAAGTCTGAACTTGGGGTATATTCCATCAGATTCTGTCCAACACAATATGATTTGGTATACTGCGTATCGCAGGGCAGGTCCCACGGAAGAGATGCTTCTTTGTGGTATATCGTTTTGTCATGTACCATCGCACCAGCCGTCTTCCTGGCTATCGCACAGTTTGAGAATGACGACCCATTAGAGCAGTAGTAGTTGCATGGGTCACATGGATACATTTTCGGAAGTCTCACCAGACACATGACAATCCGAATACTATAGTCTATTTTAAGAAGCAAGAGGCTTTACTTCCAGGGATCCATTCACCCCTGTTACCCTGAACACCCATCTTCGTACGCACCTTAATTAGTAGGCTTTTGAGGTTAAGTCTAGACCGTCCACTTTCCAAGTGGTTTCCGACCCTGAAAGGTAGCAAATCTGATGTTTCTTGGGCCATAGCCTGACTTGAGCCTAGTGTTTTGCGCGGGCAGCCCAGTATGATACATCCGACCCAGGTATTTGGATATAAGACGCAAGGGCAGCGCGCAATATTACAGCCAAATGAGTAACGCATACGCCGTGATCCCTATTCGTATAGTTCCAACTGTATGACGAGACCTCAACAAGCATTCTCAAAATGTTGGTCTTTGGGCAGTACATAATTGCTGCGGCCCCGATTGTTGCCATTGGTGCCTGTGCCCACGCTCGTGCCAATTCTCGAGGCCAAACTGCAAACGAGCTTCCTCCTCCTTTGACAAGGCCTCCAGCAGATTTTACTCAGCTCTCGGGGCTTTTTGGGCGTCAGGCGGTGCCCAAGACTTGCGGATATATTTCCGGGGTAGACCGTAGGTGACTGAGCAACTGAAAAAGCAGATACCAGACTTTGTCCAGTTCGCAAGCTGACTTTTTCTTTCTTTTTCCAGCGCTGACATGCTCCTCACCCTTTACATGCATCTATAACACGCGACGCAACGCCCAAGGTTGTTGTACTGATCGATATTGCACCCTCCCCACTGCATGCGTGCCGTACGGTTCTCCCTCTCCAACAGACGCGGAGACTGTATATTGGTAAGAAAGAGGCGTGTGTATAGGAAGATGGAATGCTAATTCTTTTGAGATAGCAGAAACTCTGCCAAGCCTTCTTGCTTGACACTCTCCTTTGTCGACGATCCATGCTCCGGGTGCACATGGCACGCCTGTTCGACGACAGACGGAACAAGACCAATCTACAATACTCGACCGCCCAGCACAACTACCATCTCAATCCCTCCAAGCACTACGCCGGCGCCGGCGCCAGTTACCGTGACGCCGCCGTCGAATCCCACCCCGGTAGGCGCTATTGTTGGAGGCGTGGTCGGAGGAGTCGGTGAGTTACAGAGCGCACATGTGTGAAGGGAAGACTTTGACAGATGCTGGAAGAAGAAAATGCTGACTGCTGTCGGCCGTTCAGCCGCTTTGGCTTTGATAGGTGGTTCAATCTCGTTCCTGATACGGAGGCAAAAGACACCCGCTTCGTCTTCTCAGTCCAAACCGTCATTGGCAATTGCTTCCGAGCCGCATGGTGGTAATGGCACTGGTGGCGCGGCCCATGGCTATCTTGCGAAACCAGAAGCCGCCAACATTGCCGGCTCCAACGCAAGCCCGTACGCGTCTTCACCTTCGTCACCAACCCCAGTTTACTACCCTTGCTACATGGACCAGCGAGTCATGCCGCAGCCTCAGTTCCAAGCCCAGCCAGACTGGTACCAGTCTACCGCGCACGAGATGCCGACCACAAAGCCGGAACGGCAGGCCCAGGAGTTGCCGGAGGCGCCCTGAGCGCTTGGTGACAGGATGCCGTGGAGATTTTCTCGTCCTGCCTTGATGGAATAAGTCGCCTTCAGAGGGTGGCGACATGAAAAGGTGTATGTCTGACGCAGCTAAAATCTGGTGACCATGTCTGGTGGCCGACAACCAGGTGGAGCGCTCTGGCAACAGGCCAAATAACGACTTCCAACGCCTGTTTTCATGCGCTTTCTATGCACAGACAAGAAATACGTAGTGCCCACTGGGTCGGTATGTCAAAGCCCTTGGGGGTATGGGACTGTGATGCTTGGGGTGAGAAGCCTTCGGGGCGGCTGTCAGCTGACTCCAATCAACCTCTGTACTCGGTTGAGTGAGTCGGCTGCTTGAACTGCATTTTCTCCGTCGACTTAGTCAACCGGTCTCACAAGTTGGGCTCAGTCGAGGTTGCCGAGAGCTGGAGTCAAGGCCCTGAATGGTAGTATGTAATCTAAGTCGGCCTCGGAAGTGGCCAACCAAGGCCCGCCACAATGCATGTTTGTTCCCAAAGATGGAATGGCGCAGCGCTTTATATAAAGTGCTCTTTATACTTTATTCGAGGCAGCATCGCTTAAACTCACCAGACAGAATCTTCAGGCAACCTATTCGGCGCCATTAGTTCTGTTCTAGGCCACGGCCTGGAAGCTCGTGGCGTCAATTAAGGTTATCAGATCAGATAACCCACGTTTACCCCACATCTTTATTGTCGCCAAGCCTCACGCCCCTGCCCTTGGCCTTGACCCCCGGTCCGTCTCGCTACGGACAACCGCTCGGTGATTTCGGTCCAAGCACGTCAACGGGGTCATCACCACGCTTCGGACGGAGATCGGGTCGTATCCCGGCCATCGAGTCCCCTAGTCGCCTGTGGTTCCGAGCTGAAAATGACCCGTGTGGCACTTGACATGATATGTAGAGAGCGACGGCCGGTGGTCTTTTTTTTTTTCCCAAAATCTTGGACGGTTCTTCTTCCTCTGTTACCTAGAATACTCATTCTCCCCGTCCTGGTTCGAGGGACCGCCGGCCGCAATTTTTGGCGAGTTGGGGCTATACGCCCGCTTCCCTAGCTACGTGCTCGCCGTGCTGGGCGAGGAGCCTAGGTATGTCTTCAACAGGGCCACGGTGCGTCGCCGCGCACAATTCTTGGGAAGCACGCCGCCGGACCAGCGAGACCGCACCATCGTCATTATAGGCGCCTCCTTTGCCGGACACGACGTCGCTCGCTTGGTTGCCGGCCGACTGTCGCCGAAAAGCCGCTACCGGGTCGTCGTCATGGAGCCGAATAGCCACTTCCAGTTCACCTGGGTGCTGCCGCGGTTCTGCGTCATCAAAGACCACGAGCACAAGGCCCTTATTCCGTATGGGAAACACGCCCAGTGCCCGCCTGGGGTGCTCGAATGGATTCAAGATGGCGTGGTGAGCATCAACAAGACCCATGTGCGGCTGGAGAATGGCGGAAAGTCAATCGGGTACGATTACCTTGCTATCGCCACGGGGTCTGGCGTCAAGACCAGTCTGCCGTCGCGAGTGAATGCCGAGAGGAGAGCCGGCGTCCAACTCATTCGCAGGATTCAATCGAGGATTGAGGCGGCGCGGCGGGCGTGGAAGTGGCCACTGATGCCAAGAATCTGTACCCCGACAAGAACATTATTCTGCTTCATTCCAGATCGGCGGTGATGCATAGATTCGGCAAGAGGCTGCAGGATGAGGCGCTTGAGGGACTGAAGAGGATGGGTATGCAAGCTATTCTTGAGGATGGGGTTGTGGACGAGGATTCTGAGGCGAACAAGGTGACGCTGCGATCAGGGAGAGACATTCCATGCGACCTTTTTGCAAGTTTTCTAAGGGTTATTTTGTTTCTCCAAGGATGCGCACATGTGCTTACAAGCTTTGATACAACCTAGCTCAACCGCACGGGACAGTCGCCCTGCTCTGAACTCCTTGGCTCCTTGTCGCCACAATCGATTTCTCCAAACGGATACGTCAAGGTCAAGCCGACGCTCCAAATAGCCGATGGCAAATGTCCAAATGTCTATGCTTGTGGACAAGTTACCGACACCGAGACACCGTGTCCCAATGCCCGCTCTGCCATGCGTCAAGCAGCCACTGTGGCCAAGAACATTTCGAGTTTTGTCGATGGGAAGCAGCCCAAACATGTGTACAGACATCATTGGGCTGACACGTTTATTAAGCTCACCCTCGGCCTGGTGAGTGGAAACAATCTACTATAACCCTGCTTTTAGGAGGGAACCTGACTTGTTTAGGACCGTTCCGCAACATTATTGGCGACGGACATTCAGACTTGATGTTCACGTCTCAGGATAAAGACGTCACATTGATGATCAAATGAACCTGGGCAAGAATGGGGCAGAAGCCGTCCGAGGATGAGTACGATAATGATGATTCAAACGGGACGGTCAAGGCATGAGAAGAGTTGAACTAGAAGGTACCTGGTGCATTTTGCATGAAATCGTGGCTCGCAACAGTGCCGCAGTCAACGGCCGCCTCATGATATACACCGCTCGTGCTTAAACAAATCGAGAGACCCAGACATCCATGGTTCTAACCTTTTCACCATTCAGCAGTCCAACAGCGCCAATCACAGCCTCCCTTGCCGACAGGAGCGCAGTCTTCAGCGTCACATCCATGATGTACTTGTCAATCTCCTCCAGGAACCGCTTGCTCTTCACCATCCCGATCTCCCACGATCCATCCAAGAGCGCCACGCCCGGGACATGGACCTCTTCCTCGTCCAGAGCCCAACCACCCTTGGCGGCGGCGTCCTTGATGTTCAGCGGGCCCAGCAGGCAGCGGATGTTGGCCTCGCTCCCCTTGTTGTGTGCCTCGAGCGTAGCACGCGCAATAGCAGCCATGACATGAGGCACGGCGGCCCTCTCCCTGGCCGTAAGCGCGTACTCTGCCACGAGGAGCTTGGCGGCACAATCCTTGAGCGCCGCGAGCATCTCGCCCAGCGTGTCCGGCCCGTCAAAGTACCAGACGCAGTGGGCCAAGACGACGAAATCCCACCTCTTGCCGGGGTTGTCAGAGAGGAACTTGATGGGTTCTGCATTGTACCAGGTGATTCGGTCCCCTACAGGACCAGCAGACAGGTGGGCCTGTGCCTGGGCGAGCGTGAAGGGCGCACCGTAGTCTGGAGGGCCAGGATCGACGGCATCAACATGGCCCTCGGGGCCGACGGCCTCGGCGAGGACAGCGGTGCAAGTGCCCTGTCCGCAGCCGATTTCGAGAACTTTACTACCCTGTGGTATTTTCCACGAGTTGACCAGCCTGATGCGGTGTTCTGCCTGGCCGATTTCGACGGTCAAGTGCTTGGCATCGTCGAGGATGGCGTAGGAGGCGATCTTGTCGGCGGCTTCGGCGGCGAGGGGTGTAAACGACGACATTGTGGGCTTGGTTGCTATTCTACAGTCCTCCTAGTTCTGGCGAGGGGTCCTCCTTCATACAGCCACTTTGTTGCCGTGCATGTATGTAACTGAGTGCGTCAACTATCAGGGTGTCTTGCCCGTGTGTGGATGAGTGGTGACTCATTGGCAGTGGATTCGAACTCGCCGCGATTGGCGCAGACAAATTTCCATTTGTTCGAGTCAAACTGTGACTGAGATGGAATAACGACGATTCCGCGGCCCCGTCAATACCGTTGCCTACTTTGAAAGGTACTTGCTGTCTAATTCAACGGTGCGAAAGATGACTTTCAGACGACATGATTGTATGTGTGGTCAAAGGTAGTAAACTTCAGACCATATGGTTGGACTGTATTCCATCACAATACTCGACGCCACGTGATATGGCTGAATCGTCATAACCTAGCCATTCTTGATCAACGTTACCCGCCGATCTCGACCAAATCCCCCACATGCCGCATCACAAACTGTGTTCAACAAGATTGGCCCAAAAACATTTCCATAGGGGCCCTTATCAGGACATGCCGGAAAATGCCTCCCCGGGTCTTCTCTTCCCGAAAGCCATCACTCCGGCACTCGTCACGGCACCCCCGAGCTGGCTGATTGTCTCGCACCGAACGCCACCTCCGTCATCAACAATGGCGCGCCGGTAGAAGCATCCAGCGTGCAGGGCATGTTGGAGATGCGCGCGTCCAAGCTAGTCAGGTCTGGGCATGCCGTGAAAACGGCCTGAGATATCGACAATGCATCGAGAACCGTCATGTACGAGGGCACGAGCGCAACGGTGCTCAAGGAGGACAAAGACGGCGTCGAGGTCAAGATGAAAGAGTTGAATCTCATCGAGCTTTCCGGAGCCGTAATGGAAAGGGCCTCCACGGGCTTCAGGCGGTGCAGTCGAGGGCCCATCTGGACGCGTCGCCCGTGACCGAGAGAGCAGCAGCCATGGTGAAGGCCGGGGAACGATAAGTGCGTCTGCGGCGGTGCGTCAATGGCCCTTGTCCATGTAACGAGCAAACTGGATTTGTAAATACCTGGCTGTCGTTGTAGGTCTATTTGTTTGATGCTGACTGCCGCCGACCCAGCCGACTTTGGTCCTTGACGCATCGACACACGTTTATAAGAAATCAGATGTCATCATGGTTATCAACCAAATCGACGAGAAGGCAACAACAACCCCGAGACAGAAACCCCATCGTGACAAGGTTGCCCCCCTGCCTTGGTCTGAGAAAGTAGAGGCATACGCTCTCAATCTCAGTCGAAACCAGAAGAAGGTGCCAAGTGGCCCTCACCGTTGTATTGTGCAAGGCAAAGTGAGCGAGCGTCGGCGCTGGTGACAGGCGGGCTCTTATACGCCAATTCTTTCAGCAGTCTCACAAACTGACGTGCCATTTCGTGAAACCCAGAGGGACTGATACTGTCTAGGTTCCTTTGGATCACCCGTCGGTAATGAGTGATGATCAACCAGGCCTGTTCCTGTCTGACGCCGCCGTTCCTAATTCTTAATCTTCTTCTTGGAGCAATACACCAAGTGATTTCACCTTGGACAAACTTGCGGCGGAATGGACCCCGGCCGATTTTCCACACAAGACCAATATAAAAACACACCAGTCATGCCTTTTCCCGCGTCACCACTCGAGATTCACACAACCGGACACGAAAGCATAATCATATACAGTCACTACATAATAATAAATAAATAAGTACAGGAAATATCACCCCCTTCTCCTCGTAGATATCCTCCATGAAAATCACAGCCCAAGATCAAAAAAACTCCACCCCGGATCCCAAAGTCTTCCAAATTCTCGCAATCCCAAGCCCAACAATTCCTAGTCCTGCCCATGTCCCTGCCCCCTCGTCGGACTGTTCGACTGGCTGCGACTCTCAATGCTATCAACCATCTGCAACACCTTGGTCCTGGGCCTCTCAAATCGAATCGCCTCGGCAGTAAAAACCGCGCCAGACGACCTCCTCCCCGAGTCGTCCGTCGAGTGGCTCAGCCTCGGCTCAGCAAAGTCCACATGCAACAAGTCCGGATCCTCAACCAGAGAGTACGGCCTGTCATCTCTCCGCCTCTCGTGCTGCTCAACCGTTGACATGGACGAGTTCTTGTCCGGATCAACCAGCTCGGCAACCTGAGGCTCATGCAGCTCGTCCGTCTCTTTGAGCCTCGCTCCCTTCTGCAATGTGTCGTCTGCCTCCATTTGCGATTCAGCGTCGCCGTTAACCACGCGTAACCGCTCCTTCGGCACGGTAAACATGACTTGTACCAGGCGCTGCTCCACGGCCCGTTCTATATCCCAGTCGTTTTCGGGCTGCTCGCTTCCCCCGGCAACGGAGCTGGCTTCGGGTCCGTCCTCCCAGTCCAAGCGGCCTTGCTTCCTTCTAAGAAGCTCGCCGGGAAGACCAGCACGAGGCTCGTAGTCGCCGCCGTACTGCTCCGTTTCCGGTCTCGTGACTGCCGAGTTTACTGACGGTGCTCTTGGCGACGAACCGCCTGATTGGGAGAAGACGCGGCCAAGGGACCCGAGCCAGCTTCGCCGGGGTTTCGATTTGGACGGTGAGGACGGAGTAGTCAAGTCTTCGTCGTCATAAGCGTTCGCGGCGGTGGATGGTGTCGCGCGTCCCAGCAAGGCAGGCCCTTCGGCCTGCAGCGCCCCGAAGCCAGATTTTGCCGTGTTGTAACTGCTCGAGGAAGAACTGCCAGGTTTGGGATGATCGCCCCCAAGCAGCATGCCGCCAAGGAGGTTTCTTGATTTCCGATTAGACTGCGAGCGCCGCAGACTGTCCGCCGCGCTGCGATTTGATTCCGACAAGTTGGAGCCGCTTCGGGATTCGTCGTCTCGCAGAGCCGCCGAGCGCGTAGAGTTCCTTCGCGTAGGTGATCTGCGACTCTTCCGGGAAGAGTTGTACCTCTCCAGCAGCGAGTCGACGGCGTCTACATCACATACCCATTTTTGGACATCTGCATCGTACCGACGGCGCTCTTCGGGACTCGGCGTCGCTGAGGATCGATTGCTAGGCGGAGAGAGGACCGACGGCGCGGTAGCTGTGGGAGTCACAAACGGATCCGAGTGCTCCTCGGAAGTTGGTGTAAGTGGCTCCGTGACATGTTGCGGCGCCTCGTGATATTCGTCCTCCTCATCCTCTAGGATGGGATGAATCCGGCCAGGTGGTGAGACGAACGCGTTGAAGCGCGTCTCTGCGGGCACATAGCCCCCTCTCGTGCTCCGGCTCATGACTGGCTTTCTCGTGATTGCGCGGCCATGCCCGTCGTCGAGAGACGCCCTCGCCCCTCGAAGAGATTCATAACCCCTCGATGTATCAGATACACCTTGGTGGCCGTTGTGACCAGCCACGTGCCACGGAAACGCATCCTCGCGTTCCGTCATCTCATCCGCATCGTGGGAAAAGTACCTCGCATCTTGCGCCATGACCTGGGCGGCCTCGTCCCTCCGCGACTCTCGCCTCTCATTCAACCTTTTCCTCCACATACAGAATGCCAAAACAAGAAGGCCCAAAAGCAGCACGAGACCCAAGCCGAGACCCAATCCGAGCCCCAGCTTCCTAGACTGTATAGCGTCGTTTCCGGCCCCAGGAGCATCGTGCGACCCTTTTCTCGTGGGTATTTTGCCCGGCGTAGGGTTGGTATACGAGTCGGACCACGACATGGATGTGACATTGAAGAAGCGCAGCGCACCACCAGACGAAGCTTGACGTTTGGAGCTCCCGCCAGAAGAAGACGTCTCCCACCCGCCGTACACCATCATCACATTGCCGGGCAGCATGGCTGCTCCATGGCCATACACCCCCTTTCCGCCAGGCTGTTCCCGCGGAACACTCCATTTCCAGGAACTATACGTCTGAGCGAGCTGCAGGACAACGAGTTGAGGCTCAGCAGCGTTGCTCACGTCGCCGACCCATCCTCCCAAGACGACAATCGACGTCCCATCCTCTGTCAGAACCGCCGTGTGTCCAGATCGACTTTCAACGTTGTCGCTTCCCGTCGCAGCATCGGCCCCCCCAATATTGATGTACGACCACGACTCTTCAGGCAGATTCCACACCGCAGCAGTGCTCATATTGATAAATGCCTCTTGCGTGTGGCCACCCAGCAGCACAAAGCCCGCCTGCTGCGAAACCGCACCAGAGATGTTCGTCACCGAAGCCGGCAACTGCGTCAGGGTAAATCCAGCAATGGGCGTTCGTGGACCAGCCGTGGATGCCACGCTGAGCGAGTAGGCCGTATCCACAGCCTGTGTGCTCGGTGCCAAGCTCATCATTGCCTTTGTGTAGTTGGCATTCGACTGCCACGTTTCGGAGCTCGTGTTGGGGGCGTGACACATGCCTCCGTACGTGTAAACCGTCGGCTGGTCCATCGTGGGCGAGAGCTTCGACGAAAACGCCAAGGTGCCTCCGAGGAAATACGGGCCTCGCGAGGATCCCTGCTGGGAGCTGCCCGAGGTGGTCGTTCGCTTCGACCATGCGCCGCCGCCGCCGCCGCCATCGCCAGTCGCCTCGCTCGAGAAGCTCCATAGCGAGCCCGCGGTTCCGTCGCATGCCCCAGAATACACAACCACCGACCCGTTGCTCGTCCTTGCGGCCCCGAAGGCCGTTGTCGCCGGCTGGCTCTTCAGGAACGGTAGGTCTGTCGTTACCGGTGCGGGTTGAGCACCGGCCGCCACGTCCGTCGAGTAGTTGAAGGCGGAAAACTGTACGCTCCCATCGTCGCTCTGGGAAAAGACGTAGGCCAGGTCCGCGCCGCTGCAAGTCGATTCGCCTGCACAGGCCGTCGGCAGGAGAATCTGCGTCGGCACGTAGGGAAACACATGCGCCGCCACAGCAGCCGGTTGTAGGGCCGCCAGGCCGACGGCGAACAACGTAGCGTTTTGCCTCCATGCGCTGGTCCTCTTCTTCATCCTCAAGCCGCGAGCTGCATATGCAGTTTCCGTGCCTGAGGAGTCTCCCTCCCGCATTGCTCGCCCAAAGATGAGCTTTCCCCGTTTTTCAAATGTGTCGATGCTCTGTATATCGTCGGTTTATACGGGCGGAAGTCGTGCCTAGTATGAAACCATCGTTGCGGCAAGTCTCTCAAACGGCCTGATCTTGTCGAAGCTGCCAAAGAACGCAGCAAGCAAAACGAGCAGAATTCGGTTCGATAGCAATGCTTATAGGTGTAGGCGCCCTCGCCAAGAGGCGCCTCACTGACAAAGCTTTGTTTGCTTGTGCTGTGAAACAGCTGTCTAGCACAAAAGTAGCAGCCGGCACGATGATCTGCAATGACGCTTCAAGCATAGGCTTCTGCCGCCGACAAGTCGCATAAGACCGCTCTCGCTGCTCGCTCGTTTGTGTTTGTCCAGGAAAAAAAGCAGCGGTCTCGGCTCCAAGAAAAATTAAGGAGGAACAATACAGCGGCGTACGTTGCGGCCGTTGTCACCGTTGGAAAGTATATACAAATAAACAGAAACTATTATGGCGTCTAGCTCGTGGTAGGAAAAGGCAAAATGGCCAGTTCTACGGAGTACATGGATGGTATCAATGGGCCAAGAGACAAAGGCAACGGGCGGTTGCCAATAGTGTTGAACCAACCCCGTCCATGCACACACATCGTCCCGCCATTCTTATGCAAGGCAAAGGACAGGTGAGGGGTCCAGAAGGCTTGGGGCCCTGGCCACCAAATAGAGCTGACCCAAAATGCAACCTACGAGAGTCAACTTGGCCAGCCCAAGTCTGACATTTACTACGGAGTGTTGGGGATGTGGTGGATGTGATAGGTACATGGGTTTCATCTCTGAAATCTCGCCGTGGAAAACACCAATAACGGGGTGGGCAGCTAGGTTTCGGCCCAGTAGTGCGCAATGGGATGGTGAGATGGGTGGTGCACTGGTGATAGGTTTTGTTATGATTGCTGGTTGCTACGGAAACAACGCGACACAAATCTGGTGGTTGGTGTTAAACTTTTGGCGGGCGTGGAATAAATGGGGCTGTCGGTCGAGCACGGCACCGAGGGACGGGACACCCAGCAACTCTCAGGATACTACTGTTTATACTACTCGTGCCACGCCCTACTATTTTAGGGGCCTCGTTTCACTCACCACTTAAAGGTGGTGCTTATTATTAACGTGGCCTAATTACTAACGCGGCTTAATTTTAAACTTAAACGCGTTTAATCGTAAAAATACCTATAATTAACGTTTAAAAGTTAAAAAGTAAAGTAAAAATACGTGTAATTAAGGCCCTTTAATTTATTAATAAAAAGCTAGGTGTAAAATTACGTATTATAGCTTAAAATTTTAATGTGTTTTATAATAGGCTTTAATAATAATAATAAGGCGTTTTTATTAAAGAAGGCTATTTAATAGTAAATATAAAGCTTTTAAGGGAAGAAAAAGTTACTTTATATAATTATATTAATCGCCTTAATAGGGTAAATTTTACTATTTAAGCTGAATTTATTATAAACGCTATAAATTACATTTTAAAAGAGAGGTTATTATTATTATTAATAGACCTGCCTAAGCTTATTAAAAAGCTTTAAACCACTCGCTTTATTTAATGGTATTAATATAATTAGAGCTCTTACAAATATAGTAAATACAAGTGTATTATGTATTGTATTTTATATTATATTGTATTTTCGTGTATTATATTTAAATACAATACATTACATTTAAAAAATACTTATAAATGTATTTTAAGTGAAAAAGACCCTTGTTTTTTTAACTTGGATTTATGAGGCTAATTATAAGGTTTATAAGTAATATTTTTATATAGTTAAGAAGAGCTAAATTAGCTCTTTAAATTGGTTTGGTTTTTACTATTATAAGTTATTATATTAAAAAGTTATAAGCAATTGAAATAAAAGGTATAAGAATAATAATAATAATAATAATATTAGTTATATTTTTTTACGTGTAACTTACGTGCGCTTTACCTAGCTTTTACTAGAAATTATTTATAGCTTTAACCACGTTAAAATTACCTACTATATCGCTTATAAGCTAACTAGTATAGTAAAGAGCTTATAGGTACGTTGCTATCTAGTAGCTAATATAAAGCTTTTAAGAGAAGAAGAAGTTACTTTATATAATTATATTAATTGCCTTAATAAAGTAAATTTTATTATTTAAGTTAAATTTATTATAAACGTTATAAATTATATTTTAAAAGAGAGATTATTATTATAAGATTATAAGAGGGACTAGAAGTTAGGTAGCTAAAGTAGGGGTA